AAATTTATAATAAATTACATATATATATATATATATATATACACACTATATTTAAAGATAAAAATTATATTTACAATTGTATAAAAATATATTATAAAACATATATAAAATTATTTTTAATTATTGATGATTTATTATATAATAAATGAAAATTAAATTAAATAAAAAAGTTTAAAAAATATCTAAAAAATTTCTCATCAAATTTATATTAAAAATATTAAACTTTAGTTTATAGAAAAATATGATAAGCAAAAACTAAATTATATTCAAAGTTAAAAAATTCTTATAAATACTTTCGTTAAAAAAAATTCTAAAAATAATCTTGTGTGAGATATAAATTTATATTTAATATATAGGAATAAATTTTAAAAATTTCACTCTGCTTTCATGTCTTAAATTTGACCTTTTTTACTTTTACTTTTAATTAAATTTTAATGAGATTATTAATAATTATAATAATTTATATCATAATTAACAATAGGAAAAAATTTAAATATAATTCCTTAGTTACAGTTAATATTATTCTCCAATTAGAATTAAAATTTAACCTTGATAATATGCATAAATGTATATTAATAAAGTTTGCATTAAGTGTAAATACATATTATTAAAATAAAACTTTAATTCTAGTATTAAAAAAAATCAAACACACCTAAAAAAAATTATATTCAAGTTTTATCTATATAAATATTCATCACAAATTCAAAATATTTATTTATTATTGTATTCACAAAACGCGATACAGTCAAGGCTTTGCTCAAATGAGGGCTGACTGAGCGCAAACTATTAAGGCAGTCAAATAAGGTATTCCCCCAATTAAGCATCTCTCAGAGTAAACAAAAGACATCTTCATACATATTTCTCCAGGGACTCTTGGAATCTAGACAGTTAGTTAGAGTTCTTCAAAAAATTGCAAGAATAATTATAAATTATAATTATAATTTAATTGATATGATTAAAATATTATGTATTATAAATTTTAACTATAGAAAAACAATTTTTTTTTTATAAAACACATAATGAAATAATAGTAAAATAAAGAAGAGAAAATCTCCCACAAGCCACGGCATTGACTAAAATTTGAGTAGAGAATGGTGGATCAAAGTCTATATATGCTGCATCCGTTCTAGTTTCTTATTGTGACTTGGTCATTCGTAATTGTGGACAAATAAGATAAGATTGTATATAGTCCTTTACGTGTTGAATATTGATAAAAAAAACTTTGGTCTCTATAGTGACGGTAGAACAAATATATAGTATAAAAGACATGGATAGATGCAGCTGGACGAATAAAATAGAAGATTTAAAAAGAGAATTGAAAAACAAAGAGCTTTCGAATGGCAAAAAATAAAATTAAAAAAAATCAAACCAACGCATAACATTAAGTTACTTACCACCACAACATATTTCAAATGCAAACGTGGAGGTTGTTAGTGGAATACATCTCAAATTTTCGAGAGATTGATTATGTGTTTGGATTTGTTAGATCATATAATATTAATTAATGCGATTTTAAATAAATATTCACATATTTGTTCTTATGTTGAAGAATTTTTTAGGAGTCTTACTGACACATTTTCTAACATATTTTTAACATAAATTATACTATGTGTTTTAATTTATTGAAAATTAAGAAATTAAGAAAAAAGATCATCTAAATAACTAGTGAACTTATAATAAGTTTGATTTCAAATAAATTTCATTTAAATGTAAAGAATGTGTTCAAAAGAGTATGTGGAAAATGTGTTAATAACATTTTTTTTTCTTATACAAATCACATGTATACTTTATAATAGGTTAAAATATAATTTTGATCCCTTGTTTTTATTTTAGGTTTTAGTTTCATTCTTTATGTTTAAAAACTTTCAAGTCTTTTAAAGTATTTTTGTTAATCAAATTTATACTTCTTTAAGAAACCAAATTGAAACAAGATATAAAAGAGGAAAATTTTTTTTGAGTCTTTTACAATAAAAAAAATCTGTTGAAATAAATAGATTATTGATAATTGTTATATTTTCCCTTGTTTTATCGGAACCCACCTACCATGAATGAGTTAGAAGTTTTGATCTCCCTTACTTTGAGATAACCAGATGGATTGACTAGCTAAAAAAGAGATAATGTTTCAGTTTT